GCCGGAGCAGGATACTGGCAGCGACAATGATCTCGGCAATGTCAACTACGTAGTCAAGGGTCTGTGGGTGGAAACGATCTTGTACGAGATCCCACTGCTGGCTCTGACAAGTCAGGCCTACTTCATGTTCACCGATAAGGACTGGGACTATAGCTGTCAAGAGGACAAGGCTTTCCGGAAAGGATGCGCGTTGTTGGAGAATGGTTGCATATTTTCCGAGTTCGGCTCTCGAAGACGGCGCGACTACCACACCCACGATCTGGTCATGCAGGGATTGATGCAGGCTGCGGAGGAAGGAAAGAAGCAAGGATGGAAGGGAGTGTTTACCGGCACGAGTAACGTCCACTTTGCCATGAAGTACGGTGTGGCGCCTGTGGGCACTGTGGCCCATGAATGGTACATGACCATCGCTGCCATCACGGATGACTACGAGAACGCGAATGAGATGGCCCTGCGCTACTGGCTTGGCTGCTTTGGTGAAGGAGTATGTCCACGGACCTAGGATCGTCCAGGCCCTAGTAACTAACGCATATCAGGTTCTGGGCGTTGCACTGACCGACACATTCGGCACGCCCGCTTTCCTCGACGCTTTCCGCAAACCCATCCCTGCTTTCACCAGTGCAGGTGTCGGCGCAGTCTCCACGACCGCCTCCGGAACCGGCACCACGACAGAATCAACAGTACAAAGCGAGGCTACTACCAAACCCCCAATTGCGGCTCCTCTGGTCAACGATGCTCAAGGCGAGCATGCCAACAAGACCTACGCCCAGGTCTACACCGGTGTCCGCCAGGACTCTGGCGACCCCACATACTTTGTGAAGATGGTGCGGGACTTCTACGACAGAGAGGGAGTCAAGGACCCGAAGACCATTGTCTTTTCCGATTCATTAGACATCGAGCACTGCCTTGAATACAAGGTGATCGCCGAAGAAGCCGGCTTCAAGCCTGTCTTCGGTGTCGGAACTTTCTTCACCAGTACGTTATACCCATATACCCGTACTATACAGGGTCCTACCCCAATATCGCCACGAAAGTATCAACTAACAAGATCCTCACAGACGACTTCACGAACAAATCCGACGGCCAAAAATCCAAGCCGCTCAACATCGTCATCAAGATCGCCACCGCTAACGGCCGCCCAGCTGTCAAGCTGAGCGACAACATGGGCAAGAACACAGGTGACAAGGAGACCGTACAAAGTGTCAAGAAGAAGCTTGGCTACATTGAGCATCAATGGGAAGAGGGCGATGAAAGCAACCGCTGGGCTCGCAAGTAGTGCGAGTCATCGATCGAACATATTTATTGATCTCATATCTATAGTCAGCTGAGATGCAGTCAACTAGATTCATTTTCAACGATTTACAGATCGCATATATGGTGGCTAATGTACAGGGCGAGCGACGAGTCTTTATTTTTCTTTTTTCCAAGTCATGTTAAGCATTCATGTTTTATAGTTAGTTATGAGTACTACTGGTACTAGTACCTAGACTATATGAGAAGAGGGCTAGAGAAATTTTCAATGGTACTATATTCACCTAGTAGTAGTAGTAGTAGTAGTACTAATAGTGTACCAATCTTCATTCAATGATGAGTCTTCATTACTACTACTTAGTAGTTATATATATTTACACTGAACACAAAAACATCCCACCCCACCACACCACACATCACACCACACATCACACCACAAATAACAAAACAAAATCTAAAACATCTCCTCATCAGACGGAACAAACCCCAAATCCCTATCCAAATCCCCCGTAATATCCCCAGTCACATGACTCATAGACCTCTGCCCGGGCGTACTCACAACATTATGAGTCGGCGCAAACGGCGAGAACAAATCATTGTTATTGGTTAATGCGTCCTCCGGACCAGGCCCAGTCCATCTGAGGAGCTCACTGGCCCAATCGATGTCGAGGTCTGGGGAGGCGTCGGGGTTGGAAGTAGTAGAGGTGGGGTTGAGGTTGGTGGGTGGTTGGGTTTGGGGTGGGAAGTCGGCGGCGAAGGAGTCGAGGTCGAGGTCGAGGTCGAAGGGGAATTGGTCGGAGGGTTGGTCGAAGGTGGGGTTGGGTTGGGGGTGGGTTCTTCGGGGGGAGATGGTGGGGTTGTTGTTGTTGTTGTTGTCGTTGAGGAAGTTGGATATGGGGTCGTCGTCGAAGTCGTTGGGTGGGGTGGGTTCGGCTTGTTTGGGGAGGGGGTTGGTGGGATTTTTTATGTTGTTGTTGGTGGTGGAGGAGGGGTTGCTATTGAAGATGGGAGGTGGGTTGATTGTGCTGCTGTGGCGTTTGGGTGGTGTGCGCTGCTGTTGTAGTTGTTGCTTGGTTGGTCTGGCTGAATGATGAGGTCCGGGTTGTTTGTGGTTGTTGGTTGGGTCGGGGTCGTCTCGGGGAGGGGTCCAGTGTTTAGAGGTTCGGTCTTCTGCTGATGCTATGGTGTGTGGGTTTGAGATGGTGCTTTGCTTTCGTGCTTGTTCTGGTGGCTGGCCTTGAGGTATAGAACCGGAGTTGTTGGTGTATTGCATGATTCGGAGAAAGGTGTTTGCGCTGTCCGACTGTAGCTTAACTGCCGCTTCAATGTTCGCGACCTCCATGTCTGCTGCAGGATAAATGTCTCTAAGGCCTTGCAGCACTTGGATGCAGCGCTGAAAGTTGTAGATGCTGGATTCTCGGGTGGCGGGATTGCCAGATGAGGAGTTTGCCAGATGGGCCACAGCGGCTGGGATGATGACGGTCACACCGGATTGGGGGAGGAATCGCGTGAGGTTTAGCTGATTGAGACCTTGGATGATATGTGTGATACCGACTGCAGCGTCATGCATCTTTGTTTGCGCAGTTTGAATCAACTCCCTGCGTGCTTTAGACTGATCCTTGTTGGGCGTGAAGGCCCAAGGACGATGCAGCGCGCTTGTGGTCGCATGGTACAGCATTCGTACCATGGCACCGTGGAGGAGAAGGACGTCTTCGCCATCGTGGAAGTTTGTCCTTGATGCAGGAATGAATTGAGCATCTTTGGGTAGTGCACTCAACCATGATTCCAACCGCTGACTGCATCGTGCCAACTCCGATTCTGATGCTTGTCGAGGGATTAGGCTTATGGTAGTTCGTGTTGTTACGCCAAACTGACACTGTGATGGGGTATACTGAGCGAACAAAACCCGTCCGATGCACTGGCATAGTTTGGCCTTTTCGATGAACATAGTGGCCAGGCGCTTTTGGTGGTTAACATCTTCCAGTTGACGACAGCGGAACATCTCAGTCACGCTAGGGTGGAACGGCTCGAAGTCAAAATCTTCCAGTTTCAACATAGGGACATTGCTTGTCCCTTCGTTCACCTGGGTCGGGCGTCTTAGCCCCATCGCAATGAGACGGTCTCGCGAGTACAAGCTCCACCAGATTCGGGTCCTCAGCCTCTTAGTTATCGGGTCCATATCGGTCGAAGATGAAGGGTCTCTATTTAATCCGATCGAATGTGCATGTATATTGCAGACACCAATCCAGTCCCAGATATCTCTTTGCGGATTGTTTTGATGGTCAGACCAATAAGTCATAAGTAGTAAAGTCTGCAGTATGACTATTCGATCATCTTCGCAGTCAAGCGAATAGAGGAGCTATATTGACTGGTTAGCTAAAGACACGGATGAACTATCAAGCGAGACATACCCTTAATCGCGTAAAGAAAACATTACGGGCAATTTTCCGAGTGGCATACCCAGCGGCCTGCAAATGATGCAGATCGATGAAGGCTGTCGCCACGAACATTACTGCTTGAAACAGCAGGAGACTAATATTACCATTGGGGTCATTTTCCGCGACGCATCGGAGGAATTCCTGTAGATTCAAGACTGGCATGAAGCTATGCACCCATTTGATATAGCATCGTAGCAGCTCATTCCGCAGACCGCTCTCTGGGATCGACAAAGCCTCCCGAAATCGCAAAAATTCTAGGTCTTCCGGCGGTATGCGAGACGGGAGAGGTTTTAAGAAGCGCGGTTCATCGTCAAGAAGAGCAATAAGAGGGTCGAAATCAGGGTCAATGAGATCCCGCACAGTCGAGACCATATTTTCTAGAGGCAGCGAATTCCGTACCCCCAGATCTCCCAGAGTCCGCCAGCTCCGAGAAGTTCTGGAGTCTTGCAACCAAGGCGCATGAGCATTGTGGCTCAGGCTGTTACTTCTCTTCGCCACGGGTCTATCATCACCCAAGTCCGCACTTGACGGCTTGCGCTTGGCGGTCAACATGCTAGTAAGAAAGCAAAGCCAACGGCATTTGCAGCTGTGCAGGAGATCACATTCAGCATGAGAGGGTCGGAAGTTAGCAGTTGCCTATCGTTGCCGCGTTTGCTGTCCGGGGTTGGTTGGTAATAGACATCCATGGACTGTCCCTCCCCCAGCACTAAAGAAGGCGGTGTTCGGGACCCGGCCGGATGTGGGGACTTTTGCGGGCTTCCCCGCCAATTTGATATGAGAAATGTAGCCGCTTAAATAAGCGCTGTTATAGGAGAGAGTTTATTCGCTGATACGCTGGATTGTTGGGTACTTTTTGAGTGGAGCGATATTGATTGGAAGATACTCGCTGTCCAGAACTTCGTCTTAGCGCCGCGGCAGTCACAATGCCATGTTGATGCCTCAGGCAGATGGCCTCTCTGGTGTCGTTCCCTTCAGTGTTCAGACCAAGTACATTCAACAGGGCGACTATACGGCTTGGCATTACCATTTCATAGCATTGCATTCTGCAGAAAAGAGGAGCCCACCTCACCGGCAAATGATTGCTGAATATAATTGATATATCTGGCTTAAGACTACATTCTGGTTCGACTCCTATCACGAGCAAGTCCTTCATTCAAAAGCCATAACTACATATTGGAACCACCGCTACTGACTGTTCAATCGACACTCATGGCCCGATTCACAGATGTGACCATCTACAAAGGTCCTGGGTTACCTGACCAGCGATGAGATATGAAGAGATAAGACAACTACAGAGCAAAAGCCCTGTAAAGCTTATGCAATTATGCGGAGGAGAGACCGGGAAATGTTCCGGAGATCATATCTATTCTAACGCCACATAATGTTGATCCTTCACGGACCCGTATGACAAGCCTAGCCACATAACGTTGAAGCCCATATATGCCCATGAAGCACACAGTATAATACACGTATTCATTAGAATCGAATTCAAAGGAAGAAGTAGGAAGAATTGTTCGCGTGTCGTGATCGATGTCGGCACCTTTCGAGACAGCCGACAATTTCATATCACGTACACATTGCGAACGAACGTGCGAAAATCCGTTTACATACTTCTTCCGTCAGTAATTGTTTTTCAATTGCCGAAATTAATTGCGGTGACTGCGATGGATGGGATCAAGTCTCGACTTACGGAGGAAGGAGGAGCTCGCTGAGGCTGCTGTAGAGGAAAGCGACGCCGGCCTGTAGACACAATCGTATTAGATCACCCTTGACATTGTACAGACTGTACAGATCTCGCCAGAGTTGTAGAACTTACGCCGAAGACCAGAACGCTTCTCACAATGGTAGCATTCTCGGGGTGGGTAACTTCGTCATAGGCAGTGCTGAAGAAGCTCTTCTGCTGACGGCCAGAGACGACACGCTGTCTGGGAACCATTTTGAAGATGTATTAAAGATGTAGGATAGGTGATGTCCTTGAGATAAAAAGGTGTATTGACAGCGAGAATGACGATGGTCGATGGCAGTGTGAGGCCGGGAATGATGAGAACTCCGAGAAATCTTTCGGTCCTTGGCGGCTGCACTTTTAGCTTATCGCGGTTCCCGTATCTTCTTCGGACCTGCTGCGCGACCAGTTGATCGAAAAGAAGTCCGCAAGAAGGGATCTAAAACAATCAATTCATAGGCGATATTCCCTTTTGCAGAGTCGCCTTTCTCTGCTCTATTGGCCCTTATTCAAATCCGTGTTGGTGGTTGGGTCTGAAGTGCTTTTCCGCTCTGCCTCTCCAGCTGCGCAAGCCGCAACCATGACGAGCATCGATGAGCTCTTCAAGGTAAGTTATCTATAAAGTGACTTGTTATAATAGCGCTGACAATCTAGAAACCCTCCTCGGCAGCAAGTGCCAAGCGAAAACTAGATTCTGCGAAAGACCCGAGTGCGTTCATCTCCTTCACGTCCAACTTGACTTGACGTCGGCTGACTTGCGACCAAGACGAGCTCTACAAAGCTGCTAAACTAGATGCGGATGGAGATGTGAAATCAAAAGGAAAGGCGCCCATGGTAGAGGATGAGGGCGACGAGGATGATGGCTACGCGGGCCCTGAACTACCCCCCGATTTTGACGCCGAGGATATCCCAGATGACGAAGAAGGACGCTTCTTCGGCGGCGGCATGGAGCGCCAAACGGCGGAGGCTATGCAATATATCGATCAACACGAGGAAGCAGATGTTGCGGTAAGGAATTGTTATTCGCTGTGCTCCGTGGGCTCATTTGCTGAAGTAGCTATAGCCGGAGAAGTTCGACGTTACCTGGTTGCGACGCTTCGCCTTGAACTTCGAGAAGAAGATCTCGAAGAACGCTGAATTGCGCGGAAAGTTTGAAAATGATCCTCAAAAGTACGTGTTGGCAAGGCATATCCTGGTATTGAAACATTATACTGATATACCTAGATTCATGGCCTCGGAAGCAGATCTCGATACCGAAATCAAGAGCCTATCCATCCTCTCCGAGAATTCATATCTATATAGCGAATTTGCAAAGCTGGGCTGTGTAGGCTCGCTTATGTCGCTGCTTTCCCACGAGAATGCCGATATTGCAATTGATGTGATCCAGATCATTGGCGAGTTGACGGATGAAGATGTGGAGGCCGAACAAGAACAATGGGACAGTTTGGTGAACGCAATGGTATACACGCTTCGGAGTTTTGTTTAAACGAATGCTTACTGGTCCAGTTGGATGCCGAACTTATCGAGCTCTTGGCGCAAAACCTTTCGCGACTTGACGAAGAGTCCGAGGTCGATAGGGCAGGCGTGTACTACGTACTAAGTGAGTTACCCCGGATAAAGTACACGACGGGTATACTGATTACATTGAAGACGTCTTGGAAAATATTGCTTCGCAAACAGCTATCGCAGAGAAGATAGGGCAAGACCCCAACTTGTTACCTTGGCTTATCGCTCGTATACAGAAGAAGGAAAGGCCAGTGACGCAAAACCAGCAATATGCAGCAGAAATACTTGCCATCCTACTACAATCAACCCCCAAGAATAGGGAGAAGGTCGTCAGCCTGGATGGCGTTGAAATTCTCCTGCAATTGCTTAGTGCATACCGCAAGCGTGATCCCGAAAAGGATTCCGACGAAGAAGAATATGTGGAGAACTTGTTTGGCAGCTTGAACTACCTTGTGAATGAGGATTACGGCAAAGAAAAATTCCTGGAAGCTGAAGGTGTTGAGCTTGCACAAATCATGTTGAAGGAGGGCAAGTTCAGCAAGCAACGGGCTTTACGACTCCTGGACCACGCCCTAGGAGGCATGGCAGGCGCTCCTGCATGTGAACGCTTTGTTGAAGCAGCATGCTTGAGTACAGTATTTGGGATGTTCAAAAAGAAGGTATGTGTCACCGATATCATAGAATATGGGCTAGAGCTAAACCCCTATAGCAAGACAATGAAACGACGGAGCATCTGCTGGGCATTTTCGCTTCGCTGCTGCGCTTACTTCCGGGCGGTTCCGCACCACGGATTCGTACACTAGCCAAATTTATGGAGAAGGACTATGAGAAGATCGAAAAGCTCATCAAGTTGCGCCGGGATTACGCCCAACGAGTGACACCGGTCGAGCAAGCTATCGAGAAAGAACGAAAGAACTTCACGGAAGAGGAACAAGAGATTATGGCGGCCGAGTGGCTGTCCAGGCGATTCGATGCCGGTCTATTTTCTTTACAGGTTTGCTCTCTGGAATACCCCGTTGCTGCAGTACGAACTAACAGTACCCAAAGCTTATTGATGTCATTTTGGCCTGGTTGGTGGCCGAAGATGACGGGGCAAAAAAGAAGATTGTGTCCCTTCTGGCTGACCGCGACGAAGATTTGTCACTGATTAGACAAACCTTACAGGGTAAGCTCTGGTCCCTACGCCTTATATACCCTCTGGATCTTGCGCTAATTGAATGAACAGAGCAAATGGAAGGGCTATCTGAGGATGAGCCCGGCGAGAAGGATAGTAAGGAGATGCTGGAGACGCTTCTACAGTTCCTGTAATCATTATGTATAATAACATATCGCGTAGCATACGGCGCCGATTCTTGTCATTGATTCCTTTCGTAATTGTTCACAGTAATAGTTAATAATGTGAGTAAAAAGTGAAGTATTACCAGCAGCGTGAATTGTTATACGTATCACGTGATCTACTAATCAGGACTAGCTCACAGCTTAGCGCCAGAAGGCGGTCGAGGCTAGTGGCGGCTCTTTCCAAGGCAAGATCCATCAGCGCCCGGAGAGAGTCGAAGCACCCCAGCTGCTCCCTTCACCAGCATCACCGGTGGCCTGGGATCTCTCTTTCTTCCATCCATCTGAGGCTTCCGGCTTATTGGCCTCACCTGTTACTTTAAGGACGATTGCTTCGCTGCATTCTACTTACGCCAGTCGTCCAACAACCTCGAGTGGGATCTTTTCCGCCGAGCGCGTCGCGCCCTTTGCGCTCATTGTCCTATCGACTGCGGTTTTTCATTGCGTTTACGACCCATATCCGCCAAGATGGCCGACTACGAAGATGCTTACGAGGATGAGTACTACGACGATATGGACGAGGGCATCACCTCGGAGGATTGCTGGACGGTCATTTCGTCTTTCTTCGACACCAAGGGTCTAGTGTCACAACAGCTGGACTCTTTCGATGAATTTATCTCCTCGACAATGCAGGAGCTGGTGGAGGAACAAGGCCAAGTAACACTCGACCAAACTCTCCCTCCCTCCGAAGATGAAGTCGATCCCGTGGTTGTCCGCCGATACGAGCTGAAGTTTGGAACCGTCATGCTCTCTCGACCGTCCGTGACTGAGGGTGATGGTGCGACCACTATCATGTTGCCCCAGGAGGCTCGCCTGCGTAATCTTACATACGCTAGTCCCCTTTATCTCGGTGTTACGAAGAAGATTATGGAAGGTCGTGAACGTCTGGTCGCGGACCGAGATGAGGATGATATGGGTGAATCGAATGAGGATAGAAAAGCTCACGGGACTTACCTGCAGTGGGAGCAGAAGGAGCTGCCTGCTGACCAGGCGAAGGAGGAGACCGTTTTCATTGGAAAGATGCCAATCATGCTCAAGTCCAAGTACTGTATCCTCAAGGATTTGAGCGAGCAAGCTCTTTACAACTGGAACGAGTGCCCTTACGACTCTGGTGGTTATTTCATTATCAACGGAAGTGAAAAGGTGTTGATCGCCCAAGAGCGCAGTGCTGGAAACACGGTTCAAGTCTTCAAGAAGGCACCGCCTAGTCCCACGCCCTATGTCGCGGAAATTCGGAGTGCTGTCGAGAAGGGATCACGACTTCTTTCTCAGTTGTCCCTGAAGCTGTTTGCCAAGGGTGACAGTGCCAAGGGTGGATTTGGTCCTACAATTCGGTCGACCTTGCCTTACGTGAAGACCGACATCCCCATCGTCGTCGTTTTCAGAGCCCTCGGTGTGGTTTCTGATGAAGATATTCTGAACCACATTTGCTACGACCGGAATGACACACCGATGTTGGAGATGCTGAAGCCTTGTATTGAGGAAGGTTTCGTTATCCAGGACCGCGAGGTTGCGCTGGATTTCATTGCCAAGCGTGGTTCTTCTCAGTCTAGTATGAACCACGAGCGTCGTGTCAGATACGCACGCGAAATCATGCAAAAGGAGTTCCTTCCCCACATTTCTCAGAGCGAAGGTAGTGAGACCCGGAAAGCCTTCTTCTTGGGTTACATGGTGCACAGACTTCTGCAGTGTGCCTTGGGCCGTCGTGATGTCGATGATCGTGATCACTTCGGTAAGAAGCGTCTCGACTTGGCTGGTCCCCTTCTTGCAAACCTCTTCCGAGTTCTGTTCACTCGTGTCACCCGTGACCTTCAGCGGTACGTGCAAAGATGCGTGGAGACGAACAGGGAGATCTACTTGAACATTGGTATCAAGGCCAGCACCTTGACAGGAGGTCTGAAGTACGCTCTTGCTACGGGTAACTGGGGAGAGCAGAAGAAGGCAGCCAGCGCCAAGGCTGGTGTATCTCAAGTGCTCAGTCGTTATACCTACGCCTCTACGTTGTCCCACCTTCGTCGTACCAATACACCAATTGGTCGAGACGGTAAGATCGCCAAACCTCGTCAGCTCCACAACACCCATTGGGGTCTGGTTTGTCCAGCCGAAACCCCTGAAGGTCAGGCTTGTGGTCTGGTCAAGAACTTGGCGCTCATGTGCTACATCACTGTTGGTACGCCTAGTGAGCCCATTATTGATTTCATGATTCAACGCAACATGGAAGTCCTCGAAGAATTCGAGCCCCAGGTGACGCCAAATGCGACCAAGGTGTTTGTCAACGGTGTTTGGGTGGGTATTCATAGAGATCCTGCACATCTGGTGAACACCATGCTCTCTCTCCGTCGCCGGAACATGATCTCGCACGAGGTCAGTTTGATTCGTGATATTCGTGAGCGAGAGTTCAAGATCTTCACCGATGCTGGACGCGTGTGTCGGCCACTGTATGTCGTCGACAATGATCCCAAGAGCGAGAACTGTGGTTCACTGGTGCTTAACAAGGAACACATTCGCAAACTGGAGCAAGACAAGGACTTGCCCCCCGATCTGGATCCAGAAGACCGCAGGGAGCGCTACTTTGGTTGGGATGGTTTGGTGAAGTCTGGTGTCGTTGAGTATGTCGACGCCGAGGAGGAGGAGACAATCATGATTGTGATGACACCAGAGGACCTGGAGATCTCGAAGCAACTTCAGGCCGGTTATGCCCTTCCCGAGGAAGAGCTGCACGATCCCAACAAGCGTGTGCGTTCTATTCTGAGTCAAAAGGCACACACCTGGACACACTGCGAGATTCACCCCAGTATGATCCTGGGTGTTTGCGCCAGTATCATTCCTTTCCCCGACCATAACCAATCTCCTCGTAACACCTACCAGTCTGCCATGGGTAAACAAGCTATGGGTGTGTTCCTGACGAACTTTGACCAGCGCATGGAAACCATGGCCAACATTCTGTATTACCCGCAGAAGCCTTTGGCGACAACACGGTCCATGGAATTCTTGCGGTTCCGTGAACTGCCTGCCGGCCAGAACGCCATTGTTGCCATTGCCTGTTATTCCGGTTACAACCAGGAAGATTCGGTTATTATGAACCAGAGCAGCATTGACCGTGGTCTTTTCCGCAGTCTGTTCTACCGTACATACACGGACAGCGAGAAGATGGTCGGACTCACAGTTGTCGAGCGCTTCGAGAAGCCTATGAGATCGGATACGATCGGTATGAGAAAGGGTACCTACGACAAGCTCGATGAAGACGGTATCATTGCTCCTGGTGTCCGTGTATCCGGTGAGGATATCATCATCGGTAAGACGGCACCTCTGGCACCCGAAGCAGAGGAGCTCGGTCAACGTACCAAGGCCCACACTAAGTTGGATGTGTCGACTCCTCTCAGAAGTACGGAGAACGGTATTGTGGACCAGGTCCTGGTGTCTACGAGCAACGATGACCTGAAGTTCGTGAAGGTGCGCATGAGGACGACCAAGATTCCCCAGATTGGAGACAAGTTCGCCTCTCGTCACGGACAAAAGGGTACCATCGGTATCACTTACCGTCAGGAAGATATGCCCTTCACTCGGGAGGGTGTGTGCCCCGACTTGATCATCAACCCTCACGCCATTCCCTCTCGTATGACAATCGCGCACTTGATCGAGTGTCAGCTCAGTAAAGTGTCATCGTTGCGTGGATTCGAGGGTGACGCGACGCCTTTCACCGACGTTACGGTCGACTCGATCTCCCGTCTCCTGCGGGAGCACGGATACCAGTCCCGTGGCTTTGAGGTGATGTACAATGGACACACTGGACGGAAGCTGGTTGCGCAGGTCTTCCTCGGACCGACGTACTACCAGCGTCTGCGCCACATGGTCGACGATAAGATTCACGCCCGTGCGCGTGGACCGACTCAGATCTTGACGCGGCAGCCGGTGGAAGGTCGTGCTCGTGACGGTGGTCTCCGTTTCGGAGAGATGGAACGCGATTGTATGATTGCGCACGGAGCCAGTGCATTCCTGAAGGAGCGGTTGTTCGACGTGTCCGATCCCTTCCGGGTGCACATCTGCGACGACTGTGGCTTGATGACCCCTGTTGCGTAAGTGGAGAGACATCCTTGATTTTCCTAACCAGATGAGCTAACGATGATGGAACGACAGTAAACTGAAGAAGGGACTCTTCGAGTGTCGACTGTGTAACAACAAGCACCGAATCTCCCAGGTGCATATCCCGTATGCAGCCAAGCTTCTGTTCCAAGAGCTGGCCTCGATGAACATTGCCGCTCGCATGTTTACCAACCGGTCTGGCGTGTCCGTGCGGTGAGGGGGAGGAAAGAAGACTATCCGTGTACATCAGATTCTTCTCTTCTGTGGTATCTCTTCCGTCTTCTGGTGTTTTCTATGCCTTTTTTTTCCCCTTCTCCCTCTCCGTTTCCTTTTCCCCACTGTTTTCTTTCCTAATAATTCTCCACCCCCCAAAACGTGTGATATCAACCGAAGACCAGACCGATTCGGCATTTTCCGGCGTACAGAGGACCAGAGGTTTATGATTTTGATTCGAGCTTCTATATATTGTTATTTATTTTTTTGCCTCCCCTCTTTCCTTTTTTTTGCTGACCATGGTTGGAGGAATGGCTGGTGTAAGCAGCGATGTACTTGGATGATGATGATTTGTCCCTACGGAATCGAATCGAAATTGGATCTAAAGAAGCAGACGAAGAAGAGGGGTAAAAGATGTCATGGCAATTCTGCACGTAAGAGCCGGCCATGACAGGGTCCTAATCGGGGCAGATGCTGCATGGTGTAATTGTAGTGGAGAGTCAGTGGAGAGGGTGTAGAGGGTGTATAGTGGTGTTTTGCTTCTCTCAGTGGTGGGATGGCGTCCAACCCCCTCCTCAATCCCGTGCACGAACTTTAAAATTCCTCGGTGCTGCAGAATAGAGATGTCGGTGACAGGCCGTCTCCCTTCCTGTGTGAGTGCGATTGGCTAAGGGGGTTTCTATTGATAGGTGGGATGGCTCGGGAGAATGTGCTCGTGGAGGGCGGCAATGGAAGAAAAGCATGGCGATGGAGATGGAGGGGAGATGGAGGGACGATGGATGGGCGAGTCGTGAGAATGGTTGGTTGTCTGCTGCAGGCTCGGCTGCCCTTGAAGCCAATGAAACCAACGAATTACCCGCCGGCTGGGATGGCGAGAGGACGAAGCGGGGATTTGACTGGCGAAGAGCTGCTCTCGCTCTTCCCAGAATAGAAGATGGCGGGTGACAATCCCATCACACGCATTGCACTAACTGAGTACAGTAGTTGACTCTCTACCGGGCTCTCTCGTCTGCTCGTTTCCCTCCCCCCGGCGCTCTCTTAAAAGGCTGCTGTAGCCGCCAGGGCGTTCTCTGCCTTTTCTTCTCTCCCTATCTTTCTTTCTTTCTTTCTTCAGCAAGCTTGCTTGTCTGACTGCCCGTGGTTTAGAAGTATCCCCCCTGTGCACTGGCTGCACTGGTTTTTTTTGTTTGTTTGTCTATTTGTCGCTTGTTATACTACATCTTAATTATTCCCCTTACCTCTTTTACTATCAATATATCAAAAAATCCCCTACCAATTCCCCCTCAACTCTACCCCATTCAATACACGAGCTGTGCTCTGTGTAATGCTTGATTGCTTTTATTGCATCTTGTTCGGATACTTCTAAACCATTCAACCTCGTGACGGTTCATTTCGTTGTCGCCGGTCGACTTCTCGTGTTCCTGTCAAATCAGCTCAGACGACTTGCTGGCCTTGTCCTTTATTCTTTCCAACAACAACATCTATCTAATACTTTTTTTGGTTGCGTGTCAAGGACTGGATCCTGTCAAGCAAAGCCTCGTTGTTATACATTTGTACAGCCAACCAACCCAACCCAACACAAGGCTAGACGTGAATCGACTCTGGTAGTCCCTTCCATCTCGGCCTTTTTATAACGACGACTCACTTCCCGCCATTGACACGATTATTTTAAACCATTACGCCTTCATTCTGCTGCATATAATCTAATTCTTAGTATAACCTGGTCAATCTCTCTCAACATGTCTGCTGTTCAGCTCAAGTTCTCGCTGCGCACCTCTTCCAATGTCAAGACCGTCCACCTGGTCGGCTCCTGGGACAACTACTCTCGTCAGATCCCCCTTTCCCGGGATGATGTCAAGCCTGGCGCATGGACTGGCAAGTTCCGCTTCCAGACCTCCATGCTGAAGCTGGGTGGCCGCTACTGGTACTACGTATGTGACTCGCCCGCTGACTCGAATGGCCCGCAAGCTAACCCTGCCGCAGTACATCATGGATGGTTACCATGTCTCTCATGACCCCGCTGTTGAGTACACGGTCGAGCCCACCACCGGCCGCAAGTTGAACATCCTCGATGTTCCCGGTGGCAAGAAGTCTTCCCAGCCCGCCCCCAAGCACCACCGGGGCTCCACAGACTTCGTCAAGGGTCGTGCTCCTTCTCCGTCCAAGATCCACCACCCCAAGCCGTCCAAGCCCTATGCTTCCCGTCAAATCCGCGAGACGGACTTTGCTCCCACCATGGAAGACCTCACCATGCGGTTTGCCGACTCCCGTCTGTCGGACGAGTACTCGCTCTCCAACAGCCCGCCCAGCTCGGTTGGTTCATCCCTGTCGTCTCGCTCATCTGGCAGCACTTCCCCGTCTTCCCTGTCGTCCATGAGTGACCCACCCACCCCGATCTGCCACTGCGAGCGCTATGGAATTACTCGCAAGGGCGACCGGGTCAAGCTCGACTGTGGCGGCAGCCGATGCGGCTATGTTACCGAGTCGTCTGAGGCTAGCTGCTCCGAGTCCGACAGTGATGAGGAGTACCGCCGTGCCCGCAGCGGTGTCCGTCGTCAAGGCATTGTGGTGCGCAGGTAACTCATAACAACTTGTTGGTGCTTTTACCTTGCTTTGATCATTTTTGAACACCCCTCATGGGAGTCGCTTCCCGCGTCGAGAGACCGAACACGCCGTGCATTGGATGTCCCTCCTCTTTGCATAAGAGAGGATAGTCACTCCTTTGGCAGTAACCTGCCGCGCCAATTGAAGTCGCTTAAGCGTAAATGCTACGAAAGCAATAGAAAAAAAAAAAACCAAGAAAAAAAAAAAAGGAACCGGCCATCTGGATCATGGCAATTTGCCATGAAGGAGCCAGATGCGCTACGCGGAGGAGATGGGATAGTTGAAGATATGGGAAGGAATATGGAAAAAAAGACAAAGACCACTCTATACAAGGCACTGATGGTATAGCCAGGTGGATGAAGGATGAAATGAAATGAGCGACGTCGAGGTCATGTTAGCTACGTTGTTCACATAGGAAACGAATGATGAGTGATGACTTGCCTATCCCTAGCCTGTAGTCAACACAAAACGACTATACTGTTTCCTATAATAGCTATCCACTAGTAGTATGTAGTCATAGTGAGATGCTCGGCAGCAATAGCCGGGAGAGAACTTCACCTCGTGGAATGAAATCCGTCGGAAAGTCCAAGCTTTCCCCCGCAATCGGATATCCCGAGCACCGAGACCTACTTTAAAATCTGGGGCTGTCCTCTAGCTACATCTCTTCTCTCATACAGCAATTAAACTATCACAATCTATATATACAAACAGTAAAGAACGCCAAAATGCCACCACCCCCCCTCACCGTGCAATACAAAGAAGCCAACGGCAGTAAAATCACCACCGACATCTACCTCCCACCGGCACCAACCACAACTACTACTGAAAATGACACGCCAAAGAAATATCCCGTTTGTACGTCTAATCCCTCCACTACAATATATATCAAGTTACTAAAGAATTTCACAGTAATCAACATCCACGGCGGCGTCTTCATGCTCGGCCACTCGCGCATGGTCTCCATGCCCCAAGTCGACGACTGCCTCGCCCGGAACTGGATCGTCGTGGTACCCAACCATCGCCTCTGTCCACAGGTGAACATGCTCGAAGGGCCAATCACTGATATCCGGGACCTGTTGGCGTGGATCTACGACGGGCAGTTAGATGCGTTCCTTGCCGGCGCAGGTGCAGATGCAGCGCGCTATCGGGTCGATATGGATCGGGTTATGGCGTTTGGGACGTCATCGGGGGGTACACTGGCGTTGTCATTGGTAAGTTTTTCTCCTTCCCTCACCCTACTATACGCACATCCAGAAATGCTAATAACCTATATCAGGGCTACTCCGTCCCCCGCCCCGTCGCCGCAATCCTCGACTTCTACGGCGCCGTGCACTTCACCCATCCCTTCTGGACCCAACCTCTCCCTGACGTCCAACGTACTCTCCCACCCCTTGACCCTGCATTCCTGCAGAAGATTTATGATGAATATCCCATCCCTACGGATAGCTCTATCTCGCTGGAGGGCCAGACAGAGCTTTCTGGCCGTAGCAAGGCCAAGGGCCCGGATTTCTTCCGCCCGCGGGATGCCTTCGCTCTGACGCAGGTGGCTAATGGGACGGTCCTGCAGGCTTGTTATCCTGATCGGGATGTGAGCGAGATTGACCCGGTGGTGCATGTGGGCAAGGGATTTCCACCGACGTTTATTGTGCATGGGGATTGTGATACGAAGGTTAGTATTGAAGTTAGTCGGGAGCTGTGGAGGGTGTTGAGGGAGAATGGGGTCGAGTGTGTGATGGTGGAGGTGCCGGGGGAGGATCATACGTTTGCGATGGGAATGCAGGTTGGAGGGAGGACGTGGAAGTTGCAGAGGGAGGGGTTTGAGTTTTTGGAGAGGGTTATTTCACGCAGTTAGTGGTTGGGGTTGATGGGTTTGTTGTAATTATTTATAGGGGTTCATATAGATTTTCGATAAGAGTAAGAATCGAGACCTGTTCTTTTTCAGTTAAGTCTTTTAGCCGATTTGGTATTTGGACAATTTCGGGGATTGTCCGAGTTTGTTGCAGAGTTTAGATAGTAGTTGGATTTCTACCATTGCACAGTACTTTCTTTATCAGCTAGGCTGCAACGTATGCAATACCCTGGGATGACCGGTGTCCGCGGGATCCAGACACTCTAGGCTGATGCCAATCTTAGGCAAGCATTTTGAATCCTCTCGCTAATCGCTAGTATTGTTCTTCAGCTGGTTTCAGGATATACTCCGGAGTAGTCATATTTTGGTCTGAGTCTAATTCTATACACGTGGTCGTCGGCCTCGAGTAAATTGATGTGGATAGTCTTATCAAGTCCTAAGGAGCTTACAGTAAAAGCTTGATTGTAGACGTAAAATAAATTCATCACTCCATTTGTCATGGCCTTATAACAGCTGCCTTTTCATTGGAAGTATTCCGAAATTTCCGACATTCCGAACAAGCCAACCCTGGAATCATTGAAGAAGAAGTTTGATCACTTTCTTGACTGGGAAAGTCGAAGGGGGAATTGACTGGATGGTTGCCTGACGCGTCTGACTCAGGCCTCCACCAGAGGTGGATCTTTTGGTTAAGCCCTATTTTCCTAAAATGGTCAAGTCACGGGGATTACTATTTTGGGGCAACAAAGTCAACCAGTCAACCATCGCAACTGTGCTCGGGCCCCAGCAACGAACAAGATGCCCACTTTTCCCCCCCTCCATCGTCCGCGGTTGACTCGCTTCTCCTCCGTCCGGGCGTCTGTCCAGCTCATCCCAGTTTCAGCCCTACGGTGCCAGGGGCCAGTCCATCCTGGCTTTGAGTGGTTCATCCAAACCGGCCACTCCGTCCCCCGTTGCTTCTCAGCCTCAGCCTTCCTCCAATCCCCTCTTCCATCTCGGACAACTAACCACCTTCATCCACGCTATGCTGGGCTAATTTCCTGGCTAAGGAATTTCCCTCAAATCACCGGCCGGGTCCCGCTGCAGCCTTACGGCTCCCAAGGTCCTCCCCGGAGAACCGCACCGACACTGAACTCGCTCCAGCGGCCCACGGCACGGAGAAGCAATTTGCCAATAGCGAATCCTCTATAGCGGAACCCACCAGCTGGATTTGCTTCCCCTCCTCCCCTTCTCTGCTACAGCCTCTACACGAGGTCCAGCTCAGCAATAATGTCCACCTGACTGCTCTTCTGCAGTCTGCATCCTTTGACTCCCATGCCTTTCAGGGGTCCCGGGGAGCCTTTAACGGCGCCCTTCTAGTGGGTAAACGGTGCCCGGCAACCCCTCAGAAAAGCAGGGAAAGCGTCGGAATCAGCTGTCATGGATGGGCGTGGCCTAGTTCTGCACTACTCGGCCTTCAGCCCGACAAGCGTCCCCCACTGATCGACTCCGGTTTGCCCTACGAGTATTGCGAAATCCGAAATAGACCAATCTGCTATGGGTTGACGTTTGCCCGGCAGGATGGGTCCTCCTCATTTCCCTCTCTTTTCCTATTCCCTCTTTTCTTTTTCCCCTCCATTCTCTCCTCTTCCTTGATTGTCTACATTTTTGCTTTCTCGGTGGCCCTCTCCGTCTCGCTCTCGCTTTCTCTCTCTTCCTTTCTTTTCCCCCTTTCTCCTTTCTCCCTCTTTACTCTTCCCTTGTCGCTAGTCCTGTTCGTGATGGACCGAGTTCTTCCAGATTGTTCCCGAGCATAGATTTAAGGGTTCCTTTGGGTTTCTTTTATGGATGCCTTGCATCGACCGTCTGCAGTCGCATTCAGCATCAAGGCGCCTTAGAATGACAAGCTCGCCAGTTCTAGATCCTTGGTATTGTCGTCACTTGGAACTTGGTTTCTATCATGGTCCTGGGTCGCCTGAATGGTCGGTGTTTTTATAATTGATTCCATCCGCGATCCACTCCCCACCTCCATCGCACTCACCACATTACGCCTCGATCCTTCAGTCATTCCTTGACCACCACCCTCAGACCTGTCTCATTACCACGCGGGACGTTTGATCTTTTCAATTTGTGTCTTTTTTCTTTCTTTTTATCTACCACCAAGTCCAATCTCATCGGTCGACCACTACCACGACCACCACCTCATCATGTGCTATCTACTGGTGGAGCGATTTTCGGTGTGCAGATGTCTTTACTTTCAGCACGCGGTAGACCCGTGTGAAGCATACGGCCAGCGTGGCCATGTGGTGCAGGAAAAAATCGTCCTGGTCGGCTACACCTGTTCCCGACACTCATTGAGATGCAATGGAAACAACGCTCGAGACCCAACCCTGCCGGATTCAGGATATTCCAGCATCAAGGGTTAAACCCATCCACTCTGGGATAGCAAGAGGCAGCAGTCGCGGGACGTCTGCCTCAACCGTCGTTCGATTTTCATTCCTGTTTGATGCATGCTCAGTTCGATTCGATTTTGGCCTGGCCGGTTCGCCAAAACTCTTGCTAGATATATGCTTTTGTTATTGTCAACGCTGTGGGGCTGCGCTCTCGTCACCGTTTTCTTTATAATGCTGTGTGTGTGCGCGTGTTCAGTCAGCCTATTCTGCATAGCGTTGCGTTGTGTTGCGTCGCAGAATCCCCAGTCACGATGAGACGAGAAATGTGAGACGATCGACTGGGTGGAGAGTTTTGTCTTGTTAAACTATGGTAATAGAGGAGGATTTGATTGAGAAAAATGGGGGTCGTATCCGGGATACGCCAGTTGGGGGATACCAACATCTATCTATGCATTATCTAGCTGGCCTACCTACATTCGTTATCATTAATCATCTGCTGTTTACAGCCATCCTCTGAATATGTACTTGTGCATGAAATATGATCTACCAATAGGAAGATTCTCCCGTTAGACGAGGGTTAAAGTTAAGCCATGCTGAATGACTTGTCCATTCGCACTACAGATCCCAAGAGGAATGAAAATTGCGGTGACCAAGCGGATAGCTTAATTTTCACGTAGCCTACAAACTCTCCACAGTCTATTTATTCATAGGCCCATAAACAACATGTAAATAGGAGGCTCAATAGTGTCTACAGGTATCTACCTACTACGACTCGTCACCCGTATCCACAGCGGAATAATAACAACACTTTCCAAGAATGGCATAAATGCTAATAAGTACCAAATCTTGCGCATACTAGTAGTAGTAGTAGTAGTAGTAGTAGTAGCCACCACTTCTCGTAATCCCATGAATCTACCAGCATTAAATGCCTCGCCTGGTTGTAAACAATTTTGATTGTAAATAAGCATGCTTAGTACAGACATAAATGCAATCTTAGTTGAGGAGTAGTAATTGAACAGCAGGGATCTTTCTTTTCTGTAGTTTTTAGTTTGTACTAGGTACTGAGTTCACCAACAATTCCTAATTACGAAGTAAGATAACTGACTAATTAATTTGTTATTGATATGTTGGTAGTTTTCTGCATATTTTTGAAGAGTATGTGCATGTATCGATGTAAGCAAGTACTACTGAGTAAGTAGTAATAACATAAAGTGCATGCATGTGTTTTGCATTACAGGTGTGCAATGCAGCTTGGACGGATGGATGGATGGATGGATGTATCATTCATTCATTCATTCATTCATTGCACCGTCGGTGAGAAATAGAAGAAAAGAATGTAATGTGTAAATCTTAGTAGCCTGATAATCATGGATTACTTACTTACCAGTATGCTGAGTTTGGAAATGTAGTATCCTGTCGCTCTTACTTTTTAGGTTATTGTTAGTATTTGATAGCTGTCGTACAGATTGCTTTGTATCTCCTACTGCTTTATGCGTACAGTGTAGCTGTGTTATATATACTATAAACCTAAATTAAGATAGAAAGAGAGGGAGAAAACACCGACTCTAATTGGTCTTGTAAAGGAGCAACCAGCCAACAGACACTGGAATAAGAAAAAGTGTTACACTCATGCATGCTGCAAGCAGAAGGAACATAGTAGTATAGAATACAATAATACAGCACAACTACTCCATTCCACTCCACTTCACTCCACTCAACTACATCCGATGTATTAGAATTTGACTTTTGCTTCTTGGCTTAATTCCTCTTCTTCATCATCAACAAAAGAAAATCTAGATCGATCCAAGAGCCCCATGGCTCAATCCCTTCGCTAGACCGACCCGGAGAATACGGAGGATATCCTCGCCCGTTGCGTCCTCTGGTAGACCGGCACGCCAGTCCCAGCCGCGTTCGGTGGAGCTAGTGAGGGAGTCAGCGTCTGCGCGAGGGACGAGAACGCCGGAGCTGCCGACGGAACCGGAGCCGGAGCGAGTGCGGGCGGATTCGATGATGTCGTTGCCGATGAGGGAGAAGGTGCTTGATGCTGTGAGGGATGAGACGGACTTCTTGAGCATGGCGCGGGGGGAGGGAGGGAGGACAGAGGAGTCGGAGGTGTGGGCGCGCTTGCTGGAGTGGTATTGGATGAGCGTGGAGCGGAAGCATTCTTCGCATTGGGCGTAGACGCGCGGAGTCACGGTCTGGAGGTCCTCGATGGCGGAGAGGATGGTGAATTGTTGGGAGACGGAGAGGAGGGGAGTGGATTCTGCCGAGCGGATGGTTAGGATAGGGTCTTGGGAAGGGTACTAAGATAGGATCTTACGGCCAATAAAGGGCAGGGCTTCGCCAAGCAATGTCAACAGTCCATCGACTTGGACGACAGCATCACGATCGGGATCGTACAGACCACCGTAGATGCTGTCCGCCGCGCTGCCAATGACCGCCACCAAAGCCTGAGCCGCTGCTCGCCGTCTGGCTAGAGGCTTGAACCGCGGTCGCTGTCCTTCCTTAAGATTGATCGCCTCGTCGCGAATCTCGTAGAAGCGACGCAGAGTCGCATATCCACTGAAATAGTACTGGAGGATAGTAGCAGCCTCTTCATCCGTGTGCGCAATCGCCCCCAAGCCAAACTTGGGGTTTTTGATCAGAGCTTCAAGCTGCTCGTCCAGGTCGGGGGATTCAGGGAAGGCGCGGGACTGAACAAGACTGTATGAGATGAGCAGGTCAACGATGGACTTGACCTTGCGTCGGTCGTGTGCGCGAGCATAGCACAGAAGGGCAAGCCCATATTCCTGGGAGTTTGCGACGATATTATCACCATAGCGCTGAGCAGGTTAGCTGACGTTCATATAGTACCCGTAGATGACGACCTACCTCAGCGACCTTCCTTCCGTGTTGATCCAAATCCATTTCGCAGCACAGCTGCACCACTCTATCCACCTGGTCAACGCTGGTCAGTGGTATCTTTTCGAGCAGGTCGGCAACGCTCGTCTCCAGTTTCTCGCGATCATCCAAGCGGCTGAGGATCTCGATGGCCATCTCCCATCCCTGGCGCACACCCGTTTCGCACTCCAAGGTGGTCCTCTCAGACAAGCCAGACGCATACTCGCTAATCACATCGTTCTTGTGAACACGTCGCGTAGGTGCATCACCAGCCTGTCCATACGAAAGAACCATCAGGTCATTTTTGCTAAGGCCGGGCATAGATTTAGGACCAGCCCCAGCCTCTAGCCAGCCGCCAATAGACGCGAACTCAACAACGGCAGCCGCTACACACAGCGACCAAGTCTGAAGCAATTCTAGCACACCATCCACGTTGCCCTCAAACACGGAAGCAAGTCCGACTTCAAGGCTGCTCATCGAGTTGACGCGGAAACCAGCGTCAGCGGGCTCGGCGCTGGTTGCATGACTGAAGGCCAGATCAAGCCGGCGAAGGTAGGCGTTCCGTATACTGCTGGGGGAGGCGTTGGGTCTGGACAATCTCGAAAACAAGTCGGCGCTGGAACCCTCCTCATCATCCTCTCCATCCCACCACACAGTCATCGCAATCGTGGCCTCAATCCAGTCCTCTGCGTGGTCCATGACTACGCTCGTATCGCCGAGGATAATGCGGTACATGGACCGAAGGTTCTGGTAGATGGCCCACGGGACTTTGCTCTCGGCCATGCGTGCGTTCTGAGCAAAAGAGAACATCGGGGCAGCAGCCGTGGGCTTCAATCCAAAGTTGACTGCCTGGAAGCGATTCTCCGCGGCTGGAGGCTCGGGAGACGCCTGTTCACTGCCTTCGGCGAACTCCTCCAAATCTGTCACGGCGGCAATCACACGTTTTCTATACGTAGCCCACTCGGGGCCTCTAATGTCCCAATCCCCGTGCTGCACGCTGGGGCATGAGTCAAGGACCTGGAGGGCCCTATTAACGCACCTCTGAATGTTCTGCAGCTGTGCGCCACGATAGCCTGACTGCGGCAATCCATCCTCCAAGGCGGACCGTGCATAGTTAAAATCAGCCGACCGCAAAAGGTCCGCAGCATCAGAGAGATGGCCACGCAAAACAGCAGCATTAATCAATTCCCAAAAGTTTGGAGAAGCCGTAGGATTGGGATCAATCTCTTTCAATGCTTGCAGCTCATCGGTAAGAGGCATGTGGTTCTCATCAAGCCAGTCAAGAAGGAGCTTGGGTATGGGCGTAGGGGTATTCGTCCGAGCGGGGGCCAGTAATAAATTGCGCGCTGGAAATCCCAGGGGGCTTAGAAGGCTGGGCTTGGGTGCCAACTGAGGAGGGTGGTGGAGCCGCAGCAGCAGGGATGCCAGGAAGTTTGCTTTCGCAATGTTCGAAGCATTGTCGCCAGGACCGATGCCGGTACCTGGATTCTGTCCAGCGTTATCCTGATTTGCGATTGCCTGCCACGTGTCCACGAGTCTGTCGCAAGAGTCCGACAGAGCAACCTCAAAGTCAGTGTTGTTGTAGTCAGACTTCTTCACTTCATCGTGCATGCGGCAAACTTCATCCTCAGTATGCATGATGAACTCGCTTGGCTCTTCCACGGCAGCCACGCGCGAACGCGAAGCGAAATGGCGCACAATCGACGGCATCGCGGAGTCCTTCTTAGGCGACAGCTTGCCTTTCCGTATAGGTGACTGGTTTGCCCACTTTTCGTCAAGCTTTGGGCGTTTTGCTTGCGTGGTGGAATTTTGGTAGATCGACTTTCGTTGGCCGAGCGCGGCGGACGGCGCAGAGATAGAATCGCCAAGCTGAGAGTCCAGGAAGCTGAAACGAGACCCTGTGGCCTTTTCTGTAGTTCCCAAGTCCATAGCGTTGTCGGTCTGTTCAGCTTGCTCCTCCGGCAGATCTTCCTCTTCACCCTCCGCATCTTGGTCAGTGGCGTCATCATCCATCCGTGAATCCGCGAAGCCGTTGGAATTTCCAAAGCTAGTCGACTCGGCAAACCGGCTGCCGTTTGTAATACTGAACAGCGATTGCGATTTCGCAAAGGACTTTGTTTGAGTGCTCTTCTTGCCTCGGGGGAGGGCAAAGTCGGTGGAAGCGATGGAGGAGCCGAAGATACTATCGTTAGGGTTGATGTTCCCGGACTTGGTGAAGAGGGAGCCAGAGCTCATTTGGGAGCTGCCGAACATGCTGCTGGAGTGAGGATGGCCTTGCGGAGTGAAGGAATTGGATGCGGAGGGCGGAGCGCCTGCCGGCGTTTCTGACAGATTACTGAAGACACTGCGGGAATGGCCGGGGGTTGACGGCGGACTCGACTCAAATGAGGTTTTGAAAGACATGCTGCGACAAGCTATATCAATTGGTAAGGAGCTCAGAGGTGAAAGAGGGAAGATGAACGCGAAGAGCGAGGAAGCATAGAGCTGCACCTCAATTCGGGGCGGATAGACAGCGTAAGAGGGAGGGAATAAAGATGCGCAATCAATTTAGTGAGGTCGGGTCATCGAACAAGAGCTGAGGAATCGCCAAGCAGCCGGGCAGAGCGAGAAAGAAGCAACACGCCCGTCCGAAGCTGCTGTATTTCTGGAATCTGGGATTCTACTCTTTCGCCGGCCAACAATTAATTCTCCCGAAGTTCGAGACGCGCGCCGGGCGGTGAGAAACCAAGTCAGGTGATAACACATATATCCACGTGATTAAAATAAGTCAGATGATGTCACATGAGATAGAAGCCTGAGTCATCAACGCTACGCCCGATCGGGCCCGTCGTATCCGCTAAGTCATAAACAGCGATGATTGGCTGAGATTATCCATGGATCAAGTGCCCGAAGGGATCAGAAAAGGAGAAAGCAGAATGGCTGTGATGCACAGCCTGATGATCGTCAAAGGGTCTCGTATCGGCATGAGCCGCAGCAATGCGCCTTGTCCGACACAAGGCTCGGATGCAAGATATAAGAACCATGGAATGGCGTCGATTCCATGAATCTGGGATTCAGTTCTCAGAGCCACCGTCTAACAAACTACTACTCTCCTGCTACACAGATGGCTACTTACGAACCTTCTCTGGTCCCCAATGACCCACCCTTGGTCGGTTCTCGGCTCTCCGACTATGAGGGATCTGTGGACGAGAAGCTTCCAAGCGAGCAAAGCGCTTCGCACGTCTATCAGATCCATAACACGCTGTTCCGAAACCATTACAATGTGTCCACCGCCCAAGGGAAGCAGCTCTACCGGGTAGAGAACTCCTCCTGCAGGCCCAAGAAGCCAGACCTTACCTTCCATGCAGGGTCCGACGAGAACGGCCCGACCGTGGCAGTCTGCAAATTCCTACATTTTTCAAGACATCTCAAGGTCGGTCTGGGCGATCCCAACGATATCAATGGTATCACATACGAGGATCTGCTGGCGCAAGACCACCGACACGCCAAGTATCGTTGGCAGATGACGATGCAGACTGCCCGGGGCCCCGAACGGCACTCATTCCTCTGCACCCGGACACACTCGGTTGGGATTGAAGAGGACCACAAGACGAACAGCTTGAGCAATCGCAACTTCAAACTCGTTGATGAGCAGACCGGCAAAGTCGTGGGTGTATTTACCAACGCTGTTTGGAAGAACAGGGAGACAGGCAGGCTTCATATGTATGTGGATTATGGGCAGGAATTCGACCTTATGGCACTAGTCACAGTGCTAGCCTTGTACGAGAAAGCCCGGCGACGCAGGGACTCTGCTGCTGCCAGTGGTAGTTAAGAGGAGAAAAGATTCTTTGACATGGTTGTTTTGCGGTTCCTTTATGCGATACGAGATACCAAATTGACTTTTCTGAATTTATTGGTTTATATTCTATCATAATATCAATAAGCACAGTTTTGGTGCTGAGGACCCTATTGATGACGTAAGACGAGCTTGGCTCCAAAGAAAGATTGAAATACTTCAGCCTTGACTTTTCTGTCTTTCCCCCGCCATATTCTTCAAGATAGCGGGTCTAAGCGACGGCTTCATGTCAAAGGATTTAAACGTGGGTCCAAAGTCCCCCGGATCTAGCATGGCCAGCAGTAGTTCCTGTACCACGTTCAATGGCACTTAGAAGACCCCATCGCAAATCGCGCCACGGCTGCTTGCAATGCAAGCGAAGGCGGGTGAAGGTACTCTCGTATTTCCGCAATCTCGTGGAATGCTCCCTTTGTCCCGTATTACTTACTGACGATACCAGTGTGATGAATTACGACCCTCTTGTTCAAACTGCTCAAAACGCCTGGCAACCTGCGAGTATGACTCTAGCGCATCACTGCTATGGACAAATGAAGAACCCCCTTCTCGCATACGGTCCAAGAAGTCCAGCCCAGCAGGGGTTTCCCAGTCTGAATCTCCTGCGGCTACAACCGCCAACTCCCTCAGCATCCTGGGAAGATGGGGTGATGTATTTGCCGCCTCGCAAGCAGTCCCCAGCTTGAACATCACAGACCTGGAGCTGATGATGCAATGGTGCAACTCAACGCACAAAAGTGTGTCTCGGGGCGAACACACGGACCACATCTGGCGCTTTCGCGCTTCAGAGGAAGCAATTGCGCATCCTTTCCTAATGCACGGGCTACTCGCGCTGTCCTCCCTGCATATTGCACGAACAAAGCATGATACCCAGCAGCGTCCGATTTATCTCAGCACTGCTGTTGCACATCAGGCTCAAGCACTGGCCCTATTCCGCGAGAGGCTAAGCGATATCAACTCGTCTAATGCAAGGGCTATGTTTGCATTTGCCAGTGTTGTGGTCTATTATACCTTTGGCTTACCTCACGCACCCGAGTCTAGCGATCCATGGGCAAACGTGGATGACCTACTTCAGATATTCACGCTGGCGCGTGGGGTCCAACAGATCCTGAAGCAAGCTACTTCGGTCATAAAGAATGATGAATGGAGCATAATCTTCAAGGTGGAAGACTTGAACGAGGACTACTTGAGAGACGCACAGTCAAGCTTGGAGCGGTTGCATGAGTTGAACAACGCTTGCGGGGCTCAAGATGACACCCATGATACAGCTGCTTACGAAAATGCACTTGACCGTCTGGCAGAAATGCTGGCTGAGGCGCGTACCGGTATGCCCTCCGTGTCGACTTCCTGCCGATGGGCAATCAGACAATTTCCTGAATTCATGGAACTCTTGCGGGAGCGCAAACCGCTAGCTTTGGTGATACTAGCGTATCATTGCGTTGTATTCCATCATCTGAGGGATGCATGGTACATGGGTGATCGGGGAAGCAGAGTGGCCCGAGCATTATGGGACATTTTGGACGATGAATGGAGGCCACTGATTGAGAGTCATATGCTGGAAATATTCGGGAAGACACACCCGACTAATACGCCTGATACAGCTGGAATAGGACAGCAGGAGATTGATTTATGATCATTGCATTCAATAGCTGGACATTTACAAGCCACGACATCTCCACTTATACAGAGACATACTCCTCTGCTTTCCATCCCCCCTTTTCAGTCTTGATGCTCCCGCGCCCGAGAAGCCATTCTACGTCGCTTGGATGGGTGGCTGCGAAAACGATCAACACGGACAACATCAGCAGTCTGTCTAGCACATCACACAACACCATCCAAGCGCAGAATGCACTCACCCGACGCTTGCATCGAGGAGCCGAGCACATCTCCTGCAACGAACATCTTGATCATCCAGCCGACCCGGATGATGCCAACTATCCCCCTTCACGAGGGCTACAATCTGGCCCAGATCCATGTATATGCTCGCAGCGAAGAGGGCAGACGCGATCAGCAGCAGGGTGCTCTTTACGATGTACAAACCGATCGTCCAGTAGGAGATTGAGATGCCGGCATCACGCCGTCGAGGTATCCTATTGCCTCGACTGGTTAGTCAGCTAGTGCAAGTCCACGTTGAAGGATTGACATACAGTATCCTTCGATAACGAAAGGGACAGGGAATCACGTCCGTGTTCGGAGCAGACGATAAGTATGAATGAGGGTGCCCAGCATAAAGAGAGCCGCGAATACAATCGCTGCAGGCATTGATGGGTTGTACTGATAAGCCACCCAGCCGCTATGCGATTCCGAAGACATCTTGTTGAATGGTGGATGGATACTGCCACTAGAGAATTCGACAAGAACAGTATGCTTGACGAATATAGTAGATCATTTCTTCAACTTATCTCTCGATCATATTCATAAAGCGACTCGCCTTTCATCGCCACTTGTATAGAAATTTCTATCTGCAGCTTCACGATCTGCAGCCTCGTATATCTCGTACCTATTTCCCGAATGGGAAGATACCCTCATCCTACGGCGGAATCAGACCGAGCATGTCAGAAGTAAAGACTAAGTAGTACTCTTTCAGATCTCTTGATAAGGAATGGTAGAGAAATAGTTCTCTCTTGAATAAAATTCCTTCCATAAGCACTACAGTAGTCTACATAAAAATCCACTCCTCTACAACCCCATCACCACACCCACCCTATACAAACTCCCCCAAATCTATACTCAAGAGTAAACTACAACCGACTCTCCCTCTCCTCCCCATTAACCAACACATACCTAAACCTCGCCCTCCCCGCCTCCATATCCCTCAACGTCTCATTAATCTCCTCCATCCTCCTAGTCTCCACCCACGGCCTGACCCCCTTCTCCGCCGCAACCTCCAACATACACCTAATATCCTCACGACTCCCAATATTCGACCCCGTCACATTAACCCCCTTCCCAATCAACTCAAACGCCCTCATCCTCGGCAACGGCTTCTCCGGCGCGCCCACCAACACAAACGTCCCGCCGGCCTTTAACAACCTCAAATACTTCCCAAGGGGCATATCATCGCCATCCACCGTACAAAGAATCAAATCCACCGTTCGACTCCACTTCTTCTCCCACCCTTTCTCCTCCCCCGTCGCAATAAACTCATCAGCCCCCAACCCCTTCACCGCATCCTCTCGCTTCCCATTACTCCTCGATATCCCAATAACCCGCTCACACCCCAACGCCTTCGCAAACATTATCCCCAAATGACCTAGCCCGCCGATCCCCACCACCGCTACCGTCTTCCCCTTCCCACTATCCGCCCCATCACCAAGATACTTCCTCAACGGCGCAAACACCGTCGTCCCCGCACACAGTAACGGCGCCGCAACCTCACTCTCTAATCTCTCTGGAATCCGAAACGCGAATGCCGCAGGCCCGCGCCATTTCCGCGCGAATCCCCCGTACGCAATAACGTCGCTTCGCTTTCCCGTCTCGTTGTCCCAGTATCGGCTGTTATAGGTGCCCGTGATGCGCGGACAGTAGTTCTCCTTCCCCGCGACGCATTCCTCGCATGAGGGCTGTAGGCAGGAGAGGGTTTGCGCGCCGATGCCGACTCGGTCGCCGATGCGTAGTGGTGTCGTGTTGGGGTAGGTGGGGATGGATGAGCCGATGCGTGTCACGATGCCGATGATTTCGTGGCCCACGATGCAGGGGTAGGTCGTTGTGTTGGGACCCCAGCCGGAGCGGAGTGTGTGGAGGTCGGTGCCGCAGATGCCGCAGTGGGTTATGTTGATTTCGATGTCCGTGGGAGTGAACGGTTTCGGGGTGTAGGGAGCGTAGGTTAGAGGTGTGGTGGGGGAGTGGGAGAGGTAGCCGTGGAAGTGCTCCGGGGGTGAGGGTGGTGGCATTGTGATGTGTGGGTTGGGTTGGGTTGGATTGTGTGGTGGTTGTGGTTGTAAGTGTGAAGGTGGTGGTGAGTGCGGAGAAGAAGTTGATATAAAGGAGAAAATGCGGAGAAGTGCCGAGGTCCGTTGGTTGAGTTGGTTGATTGAAACAGCCGAATGTGGAATGTCCGAGTTGTGGGGATCTACAACACGTGGTTGGTGGCTACTTTAGTTAGTACCTCGGATTATTCTACTCATTATGTAGATTATGTAGACGATGTATGTTTAAAGGTAGGTTGAATTGTGTATAAATGTAGTAAACTATAAATGTTGCTCACATACGTGGCAGGTATCATAACTCTCCACAGGCATCTATCTATACACCCCTCTCCTGACACCACTTCTCTACCTCCTTCGCCAACTTCTCCCGCTGATCCCGCACCATCTCCATCATCGGCTCAACCTGCTTCGCATACGCATCGTAGCCCTTCTGTCCGTCCGGTCCAAGGCCATCCCCCTTCTGAGGCGCCAGATACGTGTCGTAGACCGAAATCATCAAGTCCATCACAGCAGACAGCTGGTTGGGGAGCCACTGTAATGTGTTAGTCACTCTGCTAATACATCTGCCTCCAAAAGGCACGCATAGACATACCGTGACAATAGGGCTTCCGCCAGTAGCAGTAGGGTGTGGCGTGCGGCGAATGATGTACTCGCGGGCAAACAGCCAGTGTCGCCAGCGGAAGCTGCGCACGTGGTTGAGAGTCTTCAGGAGCAGAATTGCCGTCTCGGTATCTGCCAGCGCAAAGTTGCGCACCCCGACCTCTTCCGACTTGGAGTTGATGTGCGCGAGGAACTCGCGGTGGGGAAGCGGACGGTAGGCGCGGAATTCATGCAGTACCTTGGTGAGCGGGTTGGAGGGCATGGGGATCTGGCAAAGGTGGTCGAGCAGTGGGATCTGTGTAGAAATTTAGCTTGAGCCGTTTGTCTTAGGGCATGGGGATGGATACATACCATGCTGTCGTTTGCACCACTCTCTCCGCGGAAGAAAAGAGGCTTGTTGTCGAGTACTCCGTCGTAGACGACGCCGTTGGGGAACATGGACTGAGAAGTGATTCCGAAGATGAAGACGCGGAAGGAGAGGTAGTCCTGGGGCTTGGAGTTGGCCCACATGTCTGTAATCGTTAGCTGGAGTGTACTGATACAAGTAGGAAGCATATGCATACCCTCCATTGCTGCTTCGATCTTTTCCATTGACTCCAGGATCTCACGGAAACCGTCGTTGACTACCGAGCGGGGTCCACCCTGCTCAACGGTGTCGACAACTTTGACAGCTCCGCTTATTAGGCCGCTCGAGTACTTGACCATGTCCACATGGGTCAAGATGAATCCTGCCTCTGAGCTCTTGGGGTCGAGGCCATTCTCAAAGGCGCGGACCAATCTGAGGTTAGGGTAAACCAGGCCCTTGGATGGCTCGGCCATGGTGTAGTTGAAGAGGGAGTATGCAGCTGCATAGGACAGGAAGGGAGGAATGTTCAAGCTGTATCATATTAGTATACTGGTCAAGATACCACAAGTCATGTAGGGTAGGCATACAGCTGAGAACAACGGTACATGGGACGAGCTACAGTCTTGGGCAGCAGGTCCCGCCCCAACCCATAGCCACTCTCAGGGTCCTTGCACCAGTTCTCCCAGCATGGCTCAAGGATATAAGCCGAAGCGAGGAACGAATAGTCCCGGAACAGAGCAGCAATCATATACAGGTCCGGCAACCCCTCATCGGTGACCTGCTTGTCGATCTCATCCGTCAAGTCGGGCAGCTCAGCCAGAAGGGCAGGGCCCAGCTCATACTTGGCAAGAAGACCTGGAGTGCCATCTTCCTTGAGGACTGGCATCCGCTCAAGCAGGGACATCAGGGGTTGGAAGACATCAGGCAGCTTGGTAGGGGCAGTGAGGTAGGGAAGGAAGCCAGTGGAGGTGGTGATAGTGAAGGGGTCCACGGACCGGGGCACAGTGGAAGGGTCATCATGAATGTGAGGGAAGCGATCCACAGTGCTGTTGGGCAAGGGGACTCTAGAGGGAGACATGGTGTGGAGGTAATGTAGTATAGAAGTCTATCCGAGATGTAAGGCAAATGGATGATGACGTGATGACGATGAGAGAGTATAGGGTTGGTAGAGACCCAAAGTCAAAGTAAGAAGAAGATAAGAAAAACGGGAAAGTTCCCACTGGGAATGTTTGCGGATACTGGAGGATCTGGGAAGGAGAGCTTGGGAGTCAGAATTGGGCGGGAAAGCAGGCGATTCTTATAATACTCAGAGGCCGGTATCAATTCCGGCCTCAAAGGCACCATTACGAAAGAGGTAGGAAAACTGCGTGGGGACCTCAGACTCGTTCGCGATAACGTAGCATCATAGATGATGAACCATCCTACGTGATATATTGGGGTTCTGCGATGATTCTACGCAGAAACAACACCCCTTACAGGTATGTCTGGCCATCAGATGCACGTCCATCGACTCTATACAAACTCTTGGCAAATAAGGGCACGCCAGAATCACGGGGACGCGCTATTCCCGATTGAGCGGGGTATAGCAGCTGCACCCTGTGCTCGTTCCGGGGTCTAGCCGCCTGGAGATGGCCATATAGCTGCTTACATACAATTTTAGGCCCCTGATAATGGGATAGATCTTTTACTACTCTCGAAAATACTTCTAATGCAGCCATAACTGCCCCAAAGCGTCGCCGTCTACATTATGGACTGCTTTATACTTCACCAAATGCCAAGGCTTTATGTCACATGGCCCCCAGCATGATTGGCCAACATCCTTGGATCGCGGCCGAATAGGCTTTCCTAGTTGCATGAGGCCGGAATTGGGCCGGCCTCCGATGATAGCCGGCCTTCTTTTATGTCGGTCAGCTATCGCTCCTATCTCGGAGTCCGCCGGCACGTGTCACCGTGCCATTCTTGGCTGATAAGGATGTTACAACAATACCAAATATCAGCGTGTCTGAGACTGTATATATTTCTACTACAGCAATATGGAATGAATGTCTGTTCATGCATAGCGGTGCTTCTTATACCGCTGCCATATAGCCTTCTCATTGCCTTCTTTCAGCAGGTGTGGCGCTGAACAGCCAATCCCTTAGCGAACCATGTGGTCTCGAGACAGGCTGAATCAATAGTATACAGAGGTGGGTGTGGATAATGATCTCTAATGTACATTTTGGGTATATTCTACAAGCATACAGCCATCACATGCCAAGTGGACATCTATACCTGCTCTCTCGTTAGGGAGGGTTTCGCCTCTAACCATCAAGGGCATGAACATACCAGACAAAGTCTATGAATCGTAAAGGACCGCTCGGGCGTGTATCATGATGTTTGTCCTTGATTCGGCTTCCCTTCGCTTGGTTCGTCAACGCTGGGCGAGACCTTCTGTAGCTTCCGGTACTCTTCTTCCAACGCCCTTTGCATCTCGAACTCGGCCTGTCGTTCCCTGCGGATACGTTGTTTCTCCATGTCTAGCTCAACCGCTTTGTGCATGCCCTAGATACGAAGCAAGCATTAGTCACTGCAATTGTCCTGGCCATAAAGCACCGGTGACATACAATTTTCTCTTGTTCTTGTGCCCAGTGCACAAAGTAGATGATCCCCGCCGTACCGAGACCAGTCGCGGCCAATGTCAATTTGGAAGCACGAGACATATTGCCTTGTATGCAATTTGTGAATTGCGCGACAATCTAAAAGAAGCAGTAAATGAATGAACGGTTGAATGCGCGAGTGGCATCATGTCCAAATCTGCATCGGATTATCGGTGATATCAGTGATGGCGGTGTCTGGTGGCAGAACCCCGACCGCCTAAGGGGTCATTCGTGGCGTCGGGGAGATCGAACGGCGCATCACAAGCTCACGACTCCACCTCTGTATACTCCTATATTCTCCGACTCTTTCGTTCTCATAAGCGCCTTTTCTGAGAAACAATACTGCAAAGATGGTGAGGAGAATGTGTCGCTCGACTTGGGAAATTGCCATACTGACTCTTTCGGATAGTCCGCTCAGAACTCCGCAGGCATTCAGACCCTCCTCGATGTAGGTCGCATTTGATTGAACTGGGTGGGGTATAGTGGTTGACCATCTCTATTTCAGGCCGAGAGGGAGGCTCAGAAGATTGTTCAACAAGGTTAGTTTACACTGTCTTTGAAAGAATACCGGACCATTAATCAGTGCTGATGTGTCGCATTATCCAGCCAGAGAATGTATGTCATCAGACACCCGATAACCACAGCATCCCGATTAATGTTCTTGTAGACCGCACGAAGCGCATAAGGGAGGCAAAGTCCGAAGCACAGAAGGAGATTGAGGAGTACAGAAAGCAAAAGGAGGAGGAGTTCAAGAAGTTCGAGGCTGAGGTATGAATGACTATCTGTCCTGCGGGGTTGAAGTTGGGAGATGCGACATTTGGACGAACGTGAGGGTTGACATTACTGTTTCTAGCACTCGAGCGGATACAAGAAGGCCGAGGAGGATGCGAACAAGGAGGCTGAGGTGAAGCTCCAGGAAATCAAGGATGCTGGCAACGAGAGGGGTGGAAAGGTTATTGAGACTCTTATCCATGCGCTGGTCGATGTGAAGCCCGAGCCGTCCGAGAAGATCGTGATCAAGGCATAGAGAGATGATGCCGGTTGTCATTGCGGCAGCATGAGGGGTTCTTGTTTGTCATTTGCTTTCAGCCTGTGAATATAGTTCTGGCCCGCTGTTTGAGCATTACATAAATTATGTTGTATCCTGTCTGAAGCTGGCAAGAGTCAACTTGAAGTTGTCTTGATTTCTCGCTGCTGGTATAAGGTTGTTGCAAGTCAACCTATAAGGCCCTTGAAGCACAACCCAGCATACTGATGTAGCGCTTATGTACACCAATAATAGTAAACTAAAAGAGAAAGGCTGGCTCGTTGATCGTATGCATGCCTTTATTCCCAGTTACAAACTGTGGATACAGTAGACGTTGTCAATGCCATGGTGTTGCGGCCTAAGGCATGAAGTGCCCAGTAACTGTTGCGTCATCAGGAACACCAGGCTGCCCCCAATGTATACATTTCTCTCAAGCCTCTCTTCAGCATCACACAATTAGTGAGAGGAATCATAAGATGAGATATGCCGTTGCCGTGTCCAACGGCGTAAGAAGCATCAAATTTCATTCGCTCTCTGTCCGCTATCCAGCCCTGAGGTGTCTTCATTCCTCTGCGCGTAGGCACAGCCCACAGCATCCCAGCAGCCCCGATGCTCTCGATCCGCGCCTGGAAGACCTGGGGAACGTTATCAGAGATGAGTATGCAATAATCCGGGAGAATTACAGTAAGCATGGACCAGGCAAAGACCATACTATCAGTGTCGAGCTACTGATGCTCCCTTAACAGATGCCCCAAAACACGCAGTTGTTCTCGCGCATGGCCTGCTTGGATTCGCAGAGCTGCGTCTTGCTGGACGTTATCTTCCTGGAGTTCAATATTGGCGTGGTATTAAGGAAGCTTTATCGATGCAAGGGGTTCGGGTCATCACTGCCACAGTGCCTCCCTCCGCATCCATCGAAATGCGTGCCGAAGAATTAGCGAGAGATATCGCCGCCGGTGCACCCGGAGAACATGTAAATATTATTGCGTAAGTTTCTACCCCAGAAGATATGATGTTGACTTGTCTGACCTGGAATAGTCATAGCATGGTAAGTGCAACATCTACCTGCCATTACGGGAGTCGTTGTTGACACTTCCCTTAGGGGTAAGAACCAGGAAAGTCTACCCTTCGATAGCAGATATTAATCAGTACTCAAGCGGACTTGACTCTCGATATATGATCACTCATTTGAAGCCGACTGATTTCAAAGTAAAATCGTTGACCACGATTGCGACTCCCCATAGAGGTATGTGATGTCTCAAGATTCGCAGAGCATTTACTCAACGTTTCTAGGCTCTGCTGTTGCAGACTTCGCCCTCAAGCAGATTGGCGGTTAGTATGCACTTCGCTTCTATAAATACTACTATCTAATGTGGTCCTAGATGACCGCCTTGCCCAGCTGTACTATGCTCTAGACCGGCTAAAGGTAGAAACGGGCGCGTTTGCCCAACTAACTCGTGACTATATGACGAACACCTTCAACCCCGCAACGCCAGACATTGAAGATATCCAGTAGGTCCCCACTGGCCGAAGATGGTACCGTCATCAGGATGGCTGAGCTATGCAGATACTTTTCGTACGGGGCGGCAATGCAGCCAAGTTTCTGGTCCGTCTTCCGTCTATCCCACCGTCTTCTGGAACAAATAGAAGGGTACAATGATGGACTTGTCAGCGTTGCCAGCAGCAAGTGGGGAGCATACAAGGGCACCCTGGAGGGCGTCAGCCACTTGGACTTGATCAACTGGAGCAATCGACTCAAGTGGCTGGCCGGAGAAATTACAGGCAACAGACAGAGGTTCGCCAATAGACTTTCCAACTTAATTCATTGGACATGCGAGCGCCCTGCTGACATTGGCTTTTTTTTTTTGTGTCGTATAGGTTCAACGCCATTGCATTCTACCTTGATATTGCAGGTAAGGCGCGAAATTGTCTCGGCAGCGCATCAGTTGATAACCATGGCTAATGAATCTAGACATGCTCGCTAAGGAAGGACTCTGACGACCCACCCCACTGCAGTCAAATTGGAAATCTTGGTGCCTATAAGTGTACTTGTAATTTGAAGTATAGATCACTTGGCGATACCCAATTAATTCATACCATCAGTTCTTTTGATGTCCATTGCCATGGCTCTGCTAGCGTCCGTGACGTGGCGGTGCAACGGGAGGGGATACCCATACCATAGAGTTCTGTTCGGGGTGGCTGAGCAGAACCCCGGCTGTGACGCGAATCGGAGGCCAGCAAAAACCAGCCCTGCGAGAGGATCGCCATTCAGTCTGGCTCTCTCCCCCGTCAGACACTGTCAGACTGAAAGGCCCAGAATGGGTCGCACCCACCGTATGATTAAAAAAAATCCGGTCAATGAACTCCACCGATTGCTCGCTCAGATCAATCAGCAGTCATGACTCCAGGATAGTATTTATTCATTAGGAATGGTCTATTATTTTTTGTTCGAGAGGGAAAAGTTCCGAACGCGCCGAGACCGTACAGTTCTCGGGTTGCCCCACGCCTTGCGCTTTTACGTCCCCTGGATTCAAACGTCATTTTCCCAGCTTGTAATAATCTAGTCAGAAAGTCACTGCCGAACTCCCGTCTTCGCTTTTCTTCTCCCAGCCTTCCACATCCGCCGTGCACTGGTTTCTGTTTCCTTTGTTTACTTGGAGTTCCATATCCGCTCTCAGTAGATACTCTCCCTCCTATTTCTCCCAGTGCATCGTCCTCTACTCCAGCACAGACTGACTGGTTCGGTCCCTGACATTGAGCCTGTGCACGCTTGCCGGCCCGCTTCAACCGCCACACGGTTCACCAACTTGTGGTCGTCATGTCTGTAATCATCCACCTGGACCGGCCTCATAAGCATTTCACCAATCTCGACTATCTCACGGGAAAGGTGGTCCTACAATTACACTCTGAAGCTGCAATCGGAGGCATTCAAGTAAAATTAGAAGGCGAAAGTCGGACGCGCCTGGCAGGTCCGAAATATCCACATAATGAGCAGTCGGATAAGAAACGTACCGAAATCGAGGTTCACAAGGTGCGAATCCTGAGCCATTCCCCTCCAACTTCCTCTTCCTCCTTCCATCCGAGGCGCGAAAGAAAATGCTATGATAGACTTCAATGCAAGCGATACTGATTTTAGCTGGTGTAGATCCTGTACAAAGTCGAAACGGTTTTCCCCACTGCCGCAGTATTCAATGCAGAGACTCCAGACAGAGCTTATACATTCGCAAGAGGGACGTACGAGTATCCCTTCAAATTCAAGGTCAGTATAGTTCGCATGGTAATACCTGTGACATACAGAACTTATAGTGGCTGTGCAGTTCCCATTCAACAATTCTTGCAGCATACACAATAGCATGCTTACGAACCTGAACATCACGGGTCTGAGGGTCGAAATGGCCAGGGACACCGCTCGCCATGTGAAGAAGACGCTCCCTCCATCTCTCAGTGGCTTCCCAGGCATGGCCGACATCAAGTACTATGTAAAAGCGACGGTTATTCGTCCCCAGTTCTACAAGGAGAATCTCAGGGCGGTATGTTGGTTTAATGAGCGATCGCTGCGAGAAGAGGATAATCTGCAGCATTCCAATGCTGATAATTGGCTTCTAGATCACCAACCTAAACTTCCTTCCCATCGAGCCTCCCAGGACAGGAAAACCGAACGAAGAAACTTATGCAAGACGACAACACCAATTTACGGATGCCCCGAATGTGTCCAAGAAAAGAAGCCTTTTCCAGAAGATGTCGAGCAGTTCGCTCCGGGACACTGCAGGCGGTTCCCCTCGCGTATCCGCTGACCTGCGGCTACCCAACCCAACAATTCTGACCTGCAATGAGCCTATACCGATGCGTGTCCTCGTCAAGAAACTGTCGGAGTCTTATGAGATTATTTTCCTGCAGATGATCCAGGTCGAGCTGATTTCTTATACCAACATCGTCGCCCATGACCTACGGCGCACCGAAAGCGGCACTTGGGTCATTCTCAGTCAGAGTAATATGGCTGTGCCTCTCGGCAGAGGCGGAGACCCAGCCGATACGGAGTGGACAATTGATTCTAGTTTATGGAGTGGTATACCTCTACCCAGTACGGTAGCGCCGTCCT